ATTACTGCCTTAAGAAACTAATTCCAAACAATTCAGATCAAAACTTGAACCTGAAAATTCTACTAGGAAGACATTACAAGTATGTGAAAGCAGCACAACTCATTTTGCTTGAAAATACATGATAATGTATGTACACTACCCCCAGACGATTTTTCCCCAGTCATCCTAATTAGTAAAGTCTTACCATATGACTATTCTCTTTTGTTAAACCCATTAGAAACTTTGGCATTTAGGTATATAATAACACTTGGAATACTGCCCAGGCTAAAAAACAAATTACTTAAGGCACATGTTAAACAAGCATTTTTATGAAGAGCACTTCATTTCACTAAAGAGAGATAAGAAAAATTGAACTGATTTTCCATATAAACTCCCTTGGTGTTTTGCTGAATGTCTTGATAGTAACCGAGTTTGTGAAAGATCCTTTATAGTCTATTCATCCATTATCACTATGGTATACTCTGTATAAATATTAATGTTCACAGATGAAAAAGAATCCATCTATATCAATAGCATTGCTATCTAAATTTTAAGAAGATTGAATGCGTTGATAAAAAACTAATTATACAATGAAACATCTCCTCAATTAAAACTTACAAAAATTTAAATGACAGTTTTTTTCTATTTTAAAGTATTTTGACAGAAAGATATTAGCATAGCCATCAGCCAAAGTTACATGGAGCTAGTTAGAATTACTGTTTGGGGAAAGATCGGCATCAGTTTGTAAGACTGTGATGACTTTATTAAGTTTAATTGAAAGCAATCAACAACATCATTGCAAATCTGCTTCTCTGAATACTGATATATTATTTAGAAGCTTGTTTTTAAAGGGATAATTAAGATGGCATGCTATTTAGTCAATCTAGCAGTAAGAAGAAGATAAATAAAATTTATTAAAATTAGCTTAAAGCAATGGGGAAAAATTAGTGTACTTACCTTTACCTGGGGAAGCAATAGTCTGTCATGAGCATTTCTTCCTTCTTTTATTATGATATAGTTCTGCGTGTATATGTATATGTGTATATTTAAAATATAGAAAATCTTTGTTTTCTTCCCTCTCTGATCATGTAGCATAAGATGTATTGACTTCATAGCACAGTATTTAAGTATTGTTAACTTTACATCATAGTATTTAAGTTATGGGATATCAGTGAGATGAATTAACTTTGCATCTTCTGGGGAAAGGGTCAGTGCTTTTTCTGTTTATATAAGGTAGTTATATCACGTTAGGTGAAAATATGATCTTCTTATTGTCTTTATTTAGAGATAAAATATAGTTTAAGGATATGGGTATGGGTGCCAAGTTGATAAGGAGTATACTTGTAAGGGTTAATTGTATGTGTCAATTTGTCTAGGCCATGATATCAGATAGTTATTCAAACATTATTCTACTATAGATGTTTTTGCGAAGGTATTTTTTAGATGAGACTAACATTTATATAAACAGACTTTGAGTAAAGCTGCTTATTCTCCACCAGTGTAGGTGGGACTCATCCAATCACTTGATATCTTAATAGAAGAAAGATTGACCTCTTCCCTAGGAAGAGGGGATTCTGCCAACAGAAAGCCTTCAGACTTAAACTACAGCATCTCCAACCTGTTGGCCTTACTCTGTAGATTTTAGACTTGCCAGCTTCTATAATCATGTGAGTCAATCCCTTAAGATAAATCTCTGTCTCACTGTATACATACGCATCTTATTTGTTTTGTTTTTTTCTGGAGAACCCTGACTAACACATAGCCCCACAGTTAACAGCTTGAGCTCTGAATCCAGATTGACTGAGTACAAATCCTGACTCTACTACAAGCTAGAAGGGAGACCTGGGAAGATCAATACTTAACCTCATTAAACTTTAGTCTTCTCATCTATAAAAAGAGATAATAAATATTAGCCTTTACATAACAGGGTTGTTTTGAGGATTAAATAAATATTATACATAAAACATGTTTACAAATAGCATGTTCTATGTATTAGGTATTATTCTAAACATTCAACAAATATTGACTATTATTTTCAAGCTCCTTTTAATATAGCTAGAAAACTTGCAGTCAATCCTAGAAAAAAGGAATGATGTGAGCAAGTCAATTTATTTTTAGAAAAAAATGTACAAAGTTGTTTGGAAATCTATTTTTATAAGAAATATTCAAGATGAAGGAAAACTGAAAGCACGGGTTTTCAAAATTTTGGTTTAATAAGTGAAATATCAATTAGCATTTAAAAACAGATAACGTAAAAGTATACCTTGTTTTATACAATAGCTATATTCTTAAAAAGATGCTTACCAATTTATCTGAGAAATCTGAAGCCATTGATATAACGTGAAAAATGCTTTAAAGATGGTTTCTCATTGTTAGTAGTTCTTAACATGTTGCCTCTATTTTATATTCTATTCTTGGCCTCTATATATTTCTTCAAATTTTCTCATCCTTTCTGCTCACTACGCACATATACCCTTGCTCTATAATTTCATCTCTTTTCCCCTCAATTCTCTGCTAAGTATACATTTTTCTGCCTTATTGTTTATTGTGTTTTGTTTTGACTAGAAGAAAGCCTAGCTGAATATTTATATCCTTTTGGCCTGGGGAAGAATTTTATACTGTTGACATAAAAGGTGAAAATTATAAAATGAAGAAAATCATAGAAATTACCACTTAAAATTATAATGCCTAATATAAATCCAAAAAGACCACAAAGAAAAATTAAAAGGTGAATTATGAATGAAAAAAGAATATTTCTTATATGTTGTCCAGTCTTTAATAGAAATAATGATACTTACTATTTTGTAATGTTTTGCACTTTACATTAAACATTTATACAGATTATCTAATTTTAACTTAGGAAAATCCAGTAAAGAAGGCAAAGAGCAGGGTGTTTCAACGTTGGCACTAATGACATCTTGGGCCAAATAATTCTTTGTTCTTATAAACTATCTTGTTGAACAGCATTCCTGGCCTTTACCCACTAGAAGGCGATAGCTTCCCTCACCTCCACCCAACTTGCGGCAACCAAAAATGTCTCCAGATATTGCCAAACGTCTCCTGGGGCACAGAATTATCACCAGTTGACAATCACTGGCAGAAAGAAAAGAGTATCTTCTTTTTTTACAAATTGGGTAGGTGAAACTTGGAGAAATTAACTGACTTTCCAAAATACACTTCTCCTTTTAATGACTTACAAACTTGACAATTATAGGACACTGTCATGAATGCTTTGGGTAAAACACTAAGCACCATCTAACAAACCAACTGTGATTTCTGTACACCAACTGTTGAATATTACAGACATTTCTGACCTCACTTTCTTCTTGGCTGATTCAGTCATTATTTCAGGCTTCTTTCTTCCCCCAAAAGGAAAATGTGCTCCTATAAATTCCAAGTTAGAAATAAGCAGTAGGAAAATTTACCTAGGCATAAAACATATTTACACAATGCATGCCTCAGTTTTTTCCAAAGCAGTTTCTTAATTTGTGCAAAATTTCTAAAATAAGCTATCATGTCCTGTTAATTAGGCAGCTAATATGTCATCAAAACTTTATGATTTGCCTCTGTTATACACATAAAACACTGAAAACATTTTCTTCTTCCAGACGCATCACAGCATGAAAACTAGTCATATATTAAAAGTCAAGAGTAGAGTTGAAGACGCTTAGATTAACTAACCAAAAATACTTCCAATGATCTCCAGCTTCCTTTCAAGCTCTGTAAGCTTCCAGAGTTATTTGCTTGTGCACAGTATTATTCAGAGCAATAAATAGCGTTTCTTTTTTTTTCCACACTATCATTTTCCCCATATCTGAAAACATATTGGATTCTCATATTAATATTCTAAACACAAACACTTCACATAATTAGTCAACCTCTAACCCTAAGCAGTATTTCACCTCTTTTCAAACTTTCTCAACAAAAGAAGGAAAAGTGGAATTTTCCATGTAATATAGTGCCATCTGTGTGCAGGCTGATAAGGTAAAAAGGAAATATTTGAATGTCAGAAGATCAGAGTTACAAACCATACCTTCCATGACATACACCAGTGACCCCACATCTCCTTCTTTGATGATGCAACTGTCTTTGCCATACTCCACCGGGTACATACAATCCACAATCTCCTGGATCTGTGACAGCTCCAAGTTCTTCATAAAGTCATTGTCAAGGATGGCTTCCTTTATAAGATCCTTGGACCTATGCAAGAGAGGGGAGATTTACTGGAACATCTGACAAGCTCTTTCATAATTTGTGAGGTTTAACAGAGCCGTACAGTGCTCTGGCACACTACAAATGCATTTTCTTGTTAGGAATTCATTAATTTTCTGAAAAACCTGAGAATAAAGTAGTTCTGTGACAGCAGAAAAGACACTGAGAAATTTTTCTTTAGGTAATATATCATTTAATGAACAAGTGACCAACAAACAAACAAAATCATACAAGTTCATTTTGTTTTATATTTTTTAACCACAAAGAATGTAGACAAACCAATAGACAAACATTTTAAAGTTTGTAATTTAATTAAAGAATAAATATGAACAAAATACAAAAAAATTCTAGTACAAACACTACTCTTACTATGTTTATGTAATTTAATGAACAAGTGACCAACAAACAAACAAAATCATACAAGTTCATTTTGTTTTATATTTTTTAACCACAAAGAATGTAGACAAACCAATAGA